CTCGTACGCACAACTTAAGAACAAATCTGTGCGTACGAACGGTTCTTGCATGAGGCCCATTATTCCAACAGCTCTGAAAATGTGAGTTTTTAAAACTATCAGAGGCGAACCGCCATGATGTGACTTATCTTTTGTTTGAGAGTTAATTTCATGGAACATTTGAGACTTGGGTGTCATTTGTGAGAAAGTGGCAGGAGATGTATCCCCCGAAAATATTTGCTAAAAAAAAAGGGGGAGGATAACGAGAAAATGCCATTTGTGTTTGTTCCGCTGGTTGTTGTTCAAAGCGTCCGCCTGCAGCAGGCGGCATTTAAAGAGCCACCGTTTTCACCGGCAACAAGCCGCCGCCGCCGCCATTAAATAACAAACCAACAAATAGTTTCAGGCTCAGGTGAGAAATAAACAATACAGGCAGCTGACAGATGTTGCAGCAGAGCGGTTTGCATCMTTCATAAATAATTTCTGTGCTTCTCATGTTGCCCGTGAATTACTTTTGCCGGATTCACAGACGGGTAATTTGGGGAAACAGACACAGAAGCCTGCCAGCCAGGGCCAGATATATCATCCGCCAACAGCTGCAGGTACAGCGGGACGCAGGCAGCCACCTGTAATACATCTGAATGCCGCCGTCCACCCTCCTCTACCATCCTGCCTTGCATCCTTCATCCACAATCAGCTCACTGGGTTCTTGTTTGCGGCCTAAAAACATTTCCTTAACATACAAAAATTATTTCTTTTGATTCATCCGGTAATCGTCGGACTAAAGCAAATAGGAAATTGGTGTAATTTCCTCTTTAGAGGAGCCGTTTATGAGATCATTAACTACAGTCGTGTTCAGCAGCAGAATCCTCTCAGAGGAATTCACTCCTGAGTTAAAACAAATTAAAGCTTCGTACGTTTTTTTTTTTTTTTTTTCTGCAGCGTCTTCATGTCGGGCTCGTGAAAACTGTTTTTATTTTTTTTCCCTTTTCTTTTTTCACTAAACGTCATCATCAGGAATGTTTTCTTGGTGAATTTGTGCTGACTTGCAGCACAGTTCCAGTTCCACAATCCGAGATTAATCCGGTGAGCATCGGATAAGAACCTCAAGCAYGCGATGACAAGATGATTATCAGTGAAATTACATGTTTAAAATTGGGTGCAGCTAAATTTTTGTGAAAGGAATCTGCACTATTTAGAAGAGAGGAATGCTTTTTTAAAGTTGGTTTAAAGGACATTTGAGCTTCTTACTGATAATATTTTAATGATGGGTAATTTTTTTTTTTAAAGAAACTGGGGTTAGGTAATTCAGTGGAACTTTTGCATCAACACATTTAGGCAGAAGGCTCGGCTCCACAAACCAGACAGGAAGCAGAGCTGATTGTGTGTTGGAGCATTTTAGCTTCCTTGGTTTTAGAGCTGCTCGAATGTTGGCTAGTTTCCAAAGAGGATGGACGGCCCACCTCATTTCATGGACATTTAGATCTACCGGAGGCTGAACCCCACCGATTAACCGTCTGAATGCTGAGTCAGCATTCTYACGCCTGTTTCCACAGTACGGTTGTTGCATTTAAACTACTTCAGCATCAGTTTGAAACATTCAGATCTTAAAACATTTGGGAAAACCCAGGAGCTTTGGCATTTAACATTTCTACTGTTTTAATTGCCTATAGATACAGCGCATGTATATAAATCTTACACCGTTGGAAAGCCTGTTCATTTATCTTCAAAATGGCACTACATTTGTAAGGA